AAGGCAGTCGCCCAACCAGCTGAGCCACCCAGGCGCCCATCTTTTTAGGGTATTTGAGATTTTTCTCAGTTTTGATCATGGAAATAACAGCTAGTGCTTATTTCTATACTGTTTTTCCTGGTTTTAAATGTCTCATCAACAGAAATGAGAAATATTGTCTAGTCAGCTCTCGTAGAATGGACTAGCCCTTTTCTCTCATCCCTGAAACCTCTGAATCAAGTTGTGCTGTGAGATGAACTTAAATTATGGTTAGCAAAGGGAGCTAATTACACATAGTCATGAATGTGTCTTGCACATTGTTACAAACTCTGATTTTCTTTTTCCCCCCATTTGGCAACATGCATTTTATAAAGTTGCTGTGTACAAAGCACTATTCTTAGTGGAGAAGGAGGATTCAGATATGGGCCCTGCCTTCCAAAGATCTTACTGTCTTCTATGAGAAGTGGGCTCACATGCAAATAAATAGAATAGAGCGCATGGAAGGCCTTGATGGGGTGAGGTTGGGTGTGGCCTCTACGTGTGAAAGTGGCCAGTCTCTCTCCCAGAGTACTGCTCTGGAACATTGGAGTTGAGTGGAAGAATGGCTTCACCAAAGGCTGGAGTGTTAGCCAAACTGGTCTTTGATCAGAGACATACCAGTGGAGGGGCCTGCTTTTCTTTTTCATTATGAACACTTTTTTTGTTTTTTAAAAGATTTTATTTATTTATTTGGCAGAGAGAGACACAGCGAGAGAGGGAACACAAGCAGGGAGAGTGGGAGAGGGAGAAGCAGGCTCCCCGCTGAGCAGGGAGCCCGATGTGGGGCTCGATCCCAGGACCCTGGGACCATGACCTCAGCCAAAGGCAGACGCTTAACGACTAAGCCACCCAGGTGCCCCCATTATGAACACTTTTAAACACACACACAGGAAGACTAATACAGTGAACTCCCATATATTCATCCCTCAGATTCAGTAATTATCAAGATTTTGTTAAATTTGTTCCATTTTATTTTTTCTTGCTGTTGTGTTTTAAAGCAAATTTCAAACATCTGTCCTTTCAATCCTATGTAGTTCAGTGTACATCTCTAAAAATATGGCCATTTGCTTGTATAACTGCAGTGCCACCATGAATCTAACAAAGTTAGCAGTAATTTCTTAGTGTCATCTCACAGAGGATGTCACTTGTAAGCCTCATTTTGGGCTGTGCTTGCCATTTTGGGTGTCTTTAAGGTCTTCTTTGGCTTGGACCCAATAAATCATTACTGTGGATAATTCTGCATGATAGGTTTTTTCTGGATGCTTTTTTCTAATGAAAGAATCTGATTGTGTTCAAGGAGTTGATTCTGATAACTTTACTTTCGGGTAGGTACAGAAACCAATTTAATTACACTTGCAGTCAAGCTATGGAAAACTTCTTAGTTTGAATTGAGATTTAAAATATAGTCAGAAGCAGCCATCTCTGGGACACGCATTGGGCACATTGTTCTAGCCCAGTCTGGTGTGGTCATCCAAAAAAATAGAGTCAGAAAGTATGATGGTGTTTGCTATTTAAGGCATAAAAAGAGCTGACCATAGTTGAGTTATAGTTCTTGCCATGATGTTATCTTTGATTCTTTTTACTCTTCTGTGCTTCAACTAATTAACATACATTCCTGAAAGTACCAACAGTACAGCCTTATCCCTCCAATACACATGCAAACAAAGATGCATATCACAAAATATTCTGGGAACCCAGAGAAGTAGGCAGACTGGAAGCCATGTAAGTGCTTTTTTTTTTTCTCCCCATCAGGGTCAGAGTAGGTCTTTTCACTGAGAGCTTAGACGCAACTTGTTATATATCATCTGATTCTGTGGATTTGTAATATGATTTCTAACATGATATTAATTTTAACTAATTACTATTATTGCAATAATTATTTATTGACCAAAATAAAACCCATTATCTTTTCGTGGTCCTTTTTCTTGTGTTTCCTGTCATGTTTAGCGGCATCATTATCCTCCCACACAAGAAAGTCTAAGATTTTTCCTTTGATTCCTATGACGAATTAGTCATCTTCGTAGTACCTCTGTTCACTTCATTGTAGGTTTCCAGCCCTAGTTTCAGATCTGGACTCCATATCATCTGAATCATTAGGAGAGCTTTTAGTTTGCCTCAGTCTTTGTCAATTACTTTCCCTGCCAGTCCCTCAGCTCCTTACTGCTGACTGTCATTTTAAAATAGAAACCTCATCACATCACTCCTTTACACACAAGCCCCTGTAGCTCTTAGTTGTCTACAGACTAAGAGCCAGCCCTTTTAGTGTGACATTTGAAGTGCTACACGCCTCCCCACATTAGCCTACAAGCTGTTGCTTCATATACTCCCTCCTTTTTTTTGGTTAAGATTTATTTATTTATTTGAGAGAGAGAGAGTGACAGTTCGCAGAAGGGAGAGGCAGAGGGAGAGGGAGAGCAACAGCCTGGCAGAGCCTGACTTGGGGTTTGATACCATGACCCTGAGATCACAACCCCAGCTGAAAACCGAGAGTCAGGCACTCAAGCGACTGTAGCACCCAGGTGCCCTGTATTCCTACTTTTCATTCTTCCCTGTCTTGCTCACATTGCCTGTTATCTGAAATGCTGATAAGGGATAGAGATCCCAGCCAGTGTGCTTTCACTTATGCTGAATAAATGCAGGTTGTGTGGAATTGGTTACAAGGAAGTTTTTCTTGTTTCTTTTAGTTTTATCAAATCTGTATGAGACTGTAGAGCCAAAATATTCTTGGATGCAGTTTTTAAGGTTTAATACTCCAGGGATTTAGAGTCTTAAGTTTTAATAGTGGTGACAGTCACCTGTTTTGATCATTCCTGCCTCTCCCCTTGAATCTCTACATTCTGCCTTTACTCTTGTTTATCTAAGCTCTTTGCTTGTGGCAGGGAGGAGGAGGAAGATGTAAAAATAAAGGAAGTAGATTTCAGTCAGGGAGAGAGAGAAACCCTGATAGAAGAGGTTATCAAACACCAGCTGTTTGTGGTTTGTTAAGGAGGAAATACTTTAAAAAAGAGAGAGAACTTTTCATTTTGAAATAGGATTCTTTGTTGCAGTAACATCTTATACAGTTTTTTTCAAAATGGAGAACAAAGGGTGGGAATCTTTTCACTTATCTTTGTAACTGTAATTTGTTTTATTTTTTTTAAAGATCTGTTTTTGAGAGAGAGCATGTGTATGAACAAGTGGTGGGGAGGGGGGCACATGGAGGGGGAGAGAGAGAATCCTTAAGCAGACTCCACACTGAGCACAGAGCCCTAGCTCCATCTCACAATCCTGAGATCATGACCTGAGCTGAAACCAAGAGTCAGTCGCCCAACTGACTGCACCACCCAGGCGCCCCTGTAATTTATTGTTTTAATGAGGCATTTTGAGATTTACCTTTTTTTTTTTTAAATGCTTCTTCATACACATTTTTTTTTTAAGATTTATTTATTTGAGAGCGAGAATGAGAGAGAGAGAGAGAGAGAGCATGAGCGGGGGAGGGTCAGAGGGAGAAGCAGACTCCTTGCTGAGCAAGGAGCCCGATGCGGGACTCGATCCCGGGACTCCAGGATCATGACCTGAGCCAAAGGCAGTCGCCTAACCAACTGAGCCACCCAGGCGCCCCGAGATTTACCTTTTTTACCATTAAAAAATACTGTGTTTATATAGACTTATCAGAAAGGTATTCAATTGTTATTTCAAATATCTTTATTTATTTTTAGACAAAAGAAGTTAGAAAAAGTGATGGAAGAAGAAGGCCTAAAAGATGAAGAGGTAATTCGTATTGGGAAATTTTTCCTTGAACCCAGCATGGCAAATCTTGTTCAGCAAGTTGTTAGCCTTGATACATAGGGTATTTGGCTTAGTAACAGAGAAACTTAGGAGGGCTGGTGTACTTCTGGATTTAGGTATTCATGCAAAGGGAAATATTCACTACTAAGTACCAGGGAGAGGAAGATTTGTCTCGGCACGGTTGTAATAAATTAACTAGATTTAGAATTCCAAGAAAAGAAAGATGAGATCACATTAAAATAAAAAAAAAGCAAATTACAGCATGCTTATGGAAATCACAGAAAAGCCTCTATAGAAGTGGAACAAAGTTCTGAAATCATTATCAAGGCAAAACATCTCTTCAGATCAGTCCTTTCCCCAATGCCTACAGATGTGGTAGGAGAAAATATAGTTAAGAAACTGTGCAAGGAACTGAAATGACAGTGGAAATGCCTTCAAAAATAGGAATGAATCATAGAATCCAGGAAAATGGTGAAAAATACTGAAAACTTGTAGGAAATATAGAGTATAAAATGAATTCCGATGTGTAAAAAAAGACCAAACCCAGAGGGAAATTAAAAAAACAAAAAACACCCTTTTATTTTATATACAGAAGTTTAAAGGAAAACATTGTTTATTCTTCCTTCATTACAAAAGTTAGAATAGTTGATTGCCAAAGTAGGTTGGTCAGAGTCCTCAGAGGAGGCACTCATCTGTTCAGTATGGTTTGGTTATTGTGTCCAAAGGCTGGGGAGGAGAGATGTGATCTCTTAAGGGTTCAGAAGGTTATGCTTAGTCTGGCGTGGTCCTTCTTTCCAGTCACAACTAAGACTGCTGTGAAGGTGCAGTTTCAGCTCCTCCCTTTCCCACTTCTCTCCCCCACTTTAAACATTAGAAGCGACTGAGGAGATCAGCGCATGCTCGGAAGGAAACGGAGTTTCTTCGTTTGAAGAGAACAAGACTTGGATTGGAAGATTTTGAGTCCTTAAAAGTAATAGGCAGAGGAGCATTCGGTGAGGTAAAAAACCACAGCTACTTATCAGATATAAAAACACCACAGAACTTTGAAGCTGCTGACATACCATGAGCTCATGATTGTTGATAGAACTGAAATATGGGGTAGGTGGGTCAGGCATGCCAGCCCCACCTTGTAACTGCTCTTTCTGGCCTTTATTTCCCTCTCCACTGTCCCAGATCTCTGATTGTTCTTCTCTTTTGCCAGAGATGATGTTGATGCTCTAAGTATTGATCTAGAAGGAGAGTTAAAAGGTATAAGGAAATCAGTATTATTTACTGAGTGCTTCTCTCCTAAATCATGACAATAACTCATTTTATGGATGATGAAATTAAGACTCAGAGGGGATATATAATGTTCCATTGTCACACAGCCAGTGAGCAGCAGTACCAGAAGTTGGGCCCAGGAGTTCCTGATTTTTTTTTTTTTTAAGTTGTTAATCACCCGGTGCTCATCACAAATGCACTCCTTAATCCCCATCATCTATTTCACCCATCCCCCCATCCACCTCTCCTATGGTAACCATCTGATTGTTCTGTATAGTTAAGAATCTGTTTCTTGGTTTGTCTCTTTTTTTCCCCTTTGCCCATTTGTTTTGTTTCTTAAAGGAGTTCCTGAACTTAAAGCTCTTGCTTTTCCCAGCATCACACCACCTCTCCGGGAGCAAACTAACAGCACATTTCCACCATTTATTTCTTCCCGCCCGATTGCTGTTGCGCTAAATGATGGCCCCAGGAGACAGAATTTATAGAAATGGGTTATGCAGGGAGTGGTAGAGAGTCGGAAGTATTTGCAGGTTTGTCCCACCTGGTCTTGTGGATGCATCCTGCTTGGTCACAAGGGCAGTCTGTTGGGGAGGGTTTGAATGAGCCCGTGCAAGGTCATCTTTATTAATGGAAAACACCGGAAGTGAACGACTTACTGATGCAATAGTTTCATTAACTTTATATAAACGGAGCAGCATATTATTAAAAACCCATAGCTAGGGGAAATGTGAGTACATACTTAGAGGCACACAGGTGAAAGATTAAATTGATTCCTCAGTGTTGAGAATCCCTGTTGGCTCGTGGAGAAAGGGAAAGGTACGGTACCACCTCTAAAAGGGCTTTCTGTTTAGTGAGGAAGGGATGTGGGACGCAGTCAGGAAAAACATGAAAAAAAGTGCAGGGAGAAGAAAGCATATGTATCTGGGGGTGGGGTGGGGTGGGGGGAGGATGTGCAGGGACTTGCCAAGAAGTTTGTCTTTGGATTTGCAGACCATTAGTTTTCTTTTCATCATAAAATTATCTGTTCTTTCTAAAAACACTGGAAGATAAAAAAGAGAAAGGAAAACTGCATAAAACCCCATTTCCCTAATTATACATTTTAGGTTTTTTTTCCTTCTAGACATTTTTCCTATGCATGAGCTTTTGCTACAGTTGTTTTAAACATTGTTGTCATGGCTTCCTTATGGTTTCTGAGCTGGCTGGATGCCATGTGCCTCTGGTGTAATAGTCCTTAAGTTCGAAAGTGAGGGTTCAACTAGGGAGCCAAAGCTGTTCAGATGTGGAGATGTTTGAGAATGTTCCCAGGGCTGACTTCACGGTGTACAATAAATATATCCATTTTGGAACATTAAAAAGCACTTTTTTCTGCTTTGTTATTGCTGATTGCTTATATTAATATTATAATACTTTTTCATTTTAAATTATTTCCTAAAACACATGAAAGCTCTAGCTTGACATTGAGAACTTTTGACTTGGCATTTCTTTTATAACTCTTAGGTGCGGCTTGTTCAGAAGAAAGATACAGGGCATGTGTATGCAATGAAAATACTCCGTAAAGCAGATATGCTTGAAAAAGAGCAGGTAAACCACAATTGTAGCAGTGATTTTAGTCAGCTTATAAATTCTTTGTCACGTAAAACTGTTCTTTTTATTTGAAATGTATTTTCTTATTACAGTTTTCTTTAGCACTGTCATGTATGAATATATAGTTAATAGTACTTTTTTTTCCCCGACAAAGAAGCAGTTACATATATTTTAAAAAGGACAAATAATGCCTTACGTTGTGTGGTCTTTTAAAAGTTGAAAACCTATTAGAAGCATCTGCTGTTTGTGTCTCCCAGTTGATCACAAGCTGTGCTTGTCACGAGGAGCCTGTTTTTGAGGTCACACTTGCTGTGGTAGCATGTTCCTACTGAATGCTGAGAGAAATGGTATATATATACCTTGGAACTGAGACTTATGAACTAGAACTTGGAATTTGCAATCTAAAATGTGTCTTAATATGCTTCATTCTGTACATTCAAACCAAAGTTGGGTCTTCTGAGTAGCTCGTTATTACCCAAGAGAGACCAGTCTTCTTTCTGAATGAATTTGAAAAAATCTAATGCAAACGGCAGAGCAGTGCAAATTCTCTTTTAAGGATTCAGAACACTTTCTAAAACCTAAACCTACTTTGCATATAGATTTATAAGATGCAGAAGTACTTTATGCAAAATAAAATTTTAAGTATTGGGCAGTATATTAAAAACAAGAATGCTGCCTTTCTGTAGATCTAATTTCATTCAGCAGTTTGCTTAAGAACAGTAGTGGATGATGCCTGCATATGCCTGTAAAGAATCAGGGCAAAGAGAGACCCTGTGGCAAGGAGAGCTCTGGGTATAGAGCGCAAGAGCAGGGATGGAGACCAGCCTGCACCTAGTCCCTTCTGCCTCTTTAGAGGAGACATAATCACTGAGGCTTCTCTGCCCTTCTTTTAAGTGCCAGTCACAATTTGGAGTTTTTATTTTCTCTTCAGTTTTCATGCGCTACCCATAAGCTTAGACTTGCAGGAATTTCGGTTGAGAGTATCAAATACCCTGGCAGTGAACCTTCAGACACCATAGCTTATGCTAATACCAACCTCACTCAACGCTCAACAGCCCTATTTATGTATTATCTAAAAATTAGTGTGTGGTATGGGTGTAGGCCCTGAAGGAGTTTCAGTTAGTCTTGAAAAGGGAAATGTAAAACTGTATTGATTAGTCAGTATATTTTGTATTTCATAAGTAAGTTTTATTTTTACAAGACCTATTTCCTGTAGTTTTAACCAGGCTTAAAACGTTTCTTTATCAAATAATTAATGTTCAGATTCACATTGTAAAAAGAAGTGTGCATCATGATTTTCCCTTATTGATCCTTCATAGCATGTGCCAGTTGCCCAGCATGGTCACAGAGGACGATCGGAACATAGGGTGTAAAAATTTTTTGAATATTGTACCTTTTTCAAAATCATTTTCTAAAATTCTCCTACATGAGAGTAGAGGGACTTTCTGTGAGAATTAGGATTTTAAACAATGCATTAACTGAATTGTTAGCTCACCTTGCTGCTGCTGGACTCTGCTCCCTGGGTTTGATCTCACTGTTGTCCAGTTATAGTTTCTGGCCACACACACTGCCTGGGTCAGCCATCTTGAAGCGTAGTTTGTGCTAGGGTGTGCGAGGAGGTGGACCAGGACAAATCCATCACATTTGGGTAGGGCTGACAAAGTTTAGATTCAGAGCCTTATTTTTTGTAGGTAGAGGTGCCTTATCCACAGGAAAAATTTTTTGTTTCCTCTTACTAAACTGAACAGGAATTAAAGCTACTCACTGAGAGTTCAGGTTGCTATTCTGATCCATAGGGTGGAGATTTTGCTCTTCAGAAAATAAATTTTAAAGGATAAGAGACCAGCATTTAGCTAGTTTTTTCAAGTGTCTCTTACATTGCAAAGTAATGTAATCTCTAGTTGTGATGCCAGGATCGTATTAGGATGGGACAAAAGACAGACTTTTATCTCTGCTTTTCTAGTGCTCAGGAGAGCAGCTAGCATGTAACTCCCCACCCCATTAAATATTTATGGAACAGGGAAGGGAGCCTCTGATGAGAGTTGCACCTCTGGTTCTTCCCTCCCTGACCCTCTGTTTACCTAACTCCACCCCTAGCTGCTGTGTCAGCCCCAGAAGAGAAGGGCAGGTGTGCACAGGTGGCCTATAGCTTTCCCCTTGACACACAGAGAATGTGGCAGTCCACATTCTGTCCTCCAGGGTCGCTGACAAGTCGTAGTAGTAGTGCCTCCCCATTTCTTTGGCTCCGTGCGGCAAGTAAATGCCTCCCCTGCAGCCAGGAGAGCAGAGGCAGGTGGAGGTTGACCTGTATGGGCTTCGTGTCTGCTAATGCCCGGGGCCTAGCCTCAGCTGCAGTCAAGCAGGTGGCATTACTGTTTCCCAAAAGCTTTGCTTCTGTATGAAAACTGAGGAAAAGCATCTGCCCTTACTCAACTTCTTCATGATTTCCTTACCACCCTTCTCTTCCATTTTCCCACCCTTGTATCCTAAGTAGAGATGTACAAAACGAAGTTTTCTGCAACACTGAAGCTATTTAAAAAGTTCCCAAACAATTTTAGTAGAGCCTTGAAACTGCAATCTGTAAACTCGAGTGCCCTGAGGCCCGTGGGAAGAAGGAGGCAGGTTACGTGTAAGACGGGAGAGGGTTGGGAGCTGTGTTCAATGGGAAGAGCGAGTGTCTGACTTTGCCGAAGACATTCCAATAAAACAGGCAAGCATATAGGACATCGTAGCAAACAACACTAGCAACCAGGGGCTGAGTTTGCCAAGGAAGTGCCAGTTTGTGAGCTTTGATACATCTTCACCTCTGAATTATAGAGTAGAACTCAAGCCCCGCGTATGTTAAGAACAAAACCTCTATTCAAGATTTGGACTGGGTCTTAATAAACATAGTCCTGATAGGACCCAGCTTTGCATCTTGTGACACTTACGTAATGGGGGGGAGGTAGGATTTGATAACATGCAGCAGTGTTTTGATTACTATTACACATTTGAGGTAGATAAGGTAAATTTGATAATAAAACATTATTTTAATGAAGTAATTCTTCCAGTTCTCCCAAACCTTTGGCAACTTGGTCTCCTTAGCCTAGATAGTTTATAAGAGCAGAAAACTGGAAATACCAGAAATTTGAATGCGTAACTTTTCTTAGGTGTTCTTATATTTCAATTCAGTAAGAACTGAGCACGTACTCTGTGCACAGCAGTGAACTGAGTACTGTGGAATAGTATTCTAGAACTGTCAGCCAGGGCACTGTCCTTGCAGATACCATCGCAGACCCGAGGCAGGACTTGTTTAGAAAGTCTCATCTCGGGGATTTACTTTGGTTGTAAAAGGTTATTGGAACAAAAAGCGGTGCCAAAGAATGGTAGTTTTGATTAATCGGAGGTTCAATTTATAGCACTGCGAAAGTTGCCGTTTGCATTACAGCCGTTCATTGTTAGTTTTTTAAGCCTTTCATCACTCAGGTGTTCATGACTGAATACCTTCAAGTCAAATGCTGTCCGTTTTGATTTCATACGTTTGCCTGAGCAGAAATTAGATCTTTTGCATCATCACAATTTAATGCTCAAATAGTATTTAAATTGTTTAAACAAATATACAGTCGAATAAAGTGGAGCAAGGCTTGTCATTAATCAAATGCGTATACCTCCAGGTTGGCCACATTCGTGCGGAGCGTGACATTCTAGTGGAGGCAGACAGTTTGTGGGTTGTGAAAATGTTCTATAGTTTTCAGGATAAGCTAAACCTCTACCTAATCATGGAGTTCCTGCCTGGAGGTAATTACTTGATGATGAAAGGTCATTTTTCCTTTTTGTTCTGTGGCTTCTCTCTCACGTCAATTAACCCTCCTTTCTACTTCTAATCGTGCTCACAAAGTTGCTTTCTATATCTTTTTTAGGTCTATAAAGGAGGTCAGTAACCTGTCTTGTGCTGGGGTGCCTCTCTACAATTCTTAGTGCCATAAAAGTAACCTTCTCGTTCATTCTCATGATTTCAGATGGACATTTCTTTCTCTTCTTTTTCTTTTTCAATATATAGGAATAAAATAGGGACTCTGCCTGCTCTCCTGTCAATGGGAATCATGTATAATCAGTTACCCAAGTGACCAAATTGAAGCTATTACATTCTTTGCTTCAACTTTTTTGTTTCTTTTTCTGTAACTTATATTAATAAGGAGTGAATTTCTCATTACCTATATTAGTAGCCAGCAACAGTTTCTCATTTCTGAGATTTCAAGTTTTACATAACTCAGCATGTGTATCTCCTAAGACTGCTCCAAAGTAAACCCATAACAGAACATACCATCTGTTCTGGGGAACACAGTCTGTTTGCCAGTGAGCTGATGAGCTGTGAGCAAACTCTGGTGGGGGAAAAAAAAGAAAACTTTTTCTCTTTTTGGTTCTATAGCAAAGCAGATACAGCTGTGGCATAATATTTTGATCCTGTGATAACCTTTATTTAGATCTAGGGTCATCAATTTTTAATGAACAATTGATGAAAGTTAGGAAAGAATCTGTGTGGTAGAATGAGGAGAGACTTTTGAACATTTAGATGCCAGTTCCTTAAATAGGAATAAGAACCAGCTCAGTCCCCAGCCCCTTGACATGTGTCTCCTCAAGCCTTACATGCGCCATCTTCCATAGCTCCTCATGTCTCCTGGACCCTGCCCTTTGCACTCGGTGGAGCTGGCCTGCAGAGCCATAGACCATCTGCCTTGAGCTCTCTGATCATCTGGGCAGACTCACACAGGTGAGGCCACTCTCCTGGGCCACAGCGCTAAGGCCACACAGCTACCCTAGAGATGGCCTGAGTGCACCACCCACAAGTCTCTGGTGTGCCTCCAGATTGAATATGTAGCTGCCAAGAGTGATGAGGGAATCCTGTTTTTCAAGCCTTGGGTCAAAAAAGAGAGCATTTTAATAAATGGTTTGATTTTTGCCTGAGCATAAAATATCCCCTTTTTTCCAAGAATACAAAAAATTCCCCCAAAGTTATAAATGAAATTAAAGAAGCAGCATGATGCTCTATTAAAACAGAGGTTTCTTTCTCCTTTCCCTGTTTTCTGACCATAAATGGCTTTATATGGAATCTAAACTGAATCTTTCCTGTTTCTCTTAGCTTTAAACTACTTAACACATTTTTTCTTTGCTTTGCTTTTGTCTAACCATCGAGTTAGGATCAGATTTTTTTTTTTTCCCCGCCATTTTATGTTGCTGGTATTGAGCAGAAATAATTAAATTTTGACTTTGCGGAAAACTAGGGCGTTTACCTTTTAACTGCTAGAATACTGATACTGTGTCGTACAAGTTGCATAAAGTATATTTAACTGCCTGTAATAAAACACTGGAGAAAAAACTCCACTGACCTTGGGAGGTGTTCACTCTGCACTTTGGGGAGGCAGCCATTACATATCCCAGTAGATAGCATTTTCAGTTCCTTTTTAGCTTTTGTTGACTTACACTCTGCTACCTAAATCCCACTTTTTTATTTGTTTACGTGCAAGTGTTTTGTAAGTAGAGACTGGAGAACTTGTTTTCAGCCTCCTCATACATGTAGTTTTTGTTTGGCATTTTGGCCTCTGTCTGTAACAGTGGCAGTATAACCTGTGTGGAAATGCCATTTGGTTCTAGGTATAGAGAAGTTGGCAGGCAAAGTGAAAAGTAAAGTAATTTTTTCCCCTAGTCCAAAAAATTACCCTAAGCAAATTGTGTGTGTGTGTGTGTGTGTGTGTGAGAGAGAGAGAGAGACAGACAGACAGACAGAAATTTCCTTTTTCTCTCTAAAGTACAGTGGAAATCACTGCTCAGTGGTCAGCATCAGATTAGGTTAAAAGCATTTTGCTCTCCGGGGCTGTGAATTTTACCTTTAAGTGTTAGAGACTACTTCCCATTTTCACCCATATTGGCAGTGTGGGGTCAGTTTCTGGAACACAAAGTGGCCTGTTTAGCACTGCCTTATGTAGGCAGATAGGGAAGACCTTTCTGAAAACTGGCACTTACTCATGTATTGTCGTGTGTGTGTGTGTGTGTGGTGGCTTGTGTCTTCTTGTTTCCAGGGGACATGATGACCCTATTAATGAAAAAAGATACCCTGACGGAAGAGGAGACCCAGTTTTATATAGCAGAAACAGTATTAGCCATAGACTCCATTCACCAGCTTGGATTCATCCACAGAGATATCAAGCCAGACAACCTTCTCCTGGACAGCAAGGTACTGTGTTAGGGGAGTAGCATGCCCGATGTGTGTTTCCTCATCTGAGCAGTCTCTGCTTTACTACCTGCACCACTTGTAATCACAGTAAGGGAGCCAGAACTGCCTTGTATATTTTTCTCTTTCTTTTTTTTTTTTTTTTTATGGGTAAGTTTGCTATTACTTCCTTTCTCTGAAAGGCATATGATTCTATAATTTGATTGAACATTCTTCTTTTTTTTTTTTTT